CCCTGAAAAGGTGGCCTCATCCTCATCCTCATCCTCATCTTAATCTTAAAGGGATGCACACTCCATATAGCCTGGCTGCCATTACATATAAAGAGGAACTTTGGTGGACAAAGCTTATTTGGCACCAACAAAGCCTTAATTGTTTTATACTGACTTGCATTTATTATGATTTTAATCATATTTTCTGTATATTTTTGGTTACATGTACTAAACCATTTGATACGAACGAGAATGCAAGCTTTTAATTCACTAGCAACTGAACACATGTTTGTTTGTGTGTGCGTCTGTAGCAATGGCTATTTTATATTCTGCAAAGAGCAACTGATGTGCATGACGGGTTCCTCAGGAAAAGCCAAAATTAATGCTTGTGCTCAACGTTGGCAAGAGTTAAGTGAAGCAGAGAAGGAAAAATACCGTACAAACTGCGAAGAGGTATGAACACACAAGCTCATTAATGTTCCCACTAAAATCACTGCTGCACCACAAGACTCTGAAATCAACATTATCATGATGGATTACAAACAGAATGTCCTCAGTCTGAATTCACGACTTTGTAAATTTTCTTACAGTTGAACAGACAGTACAGGATGAAGCTGAATGAATATTTACAGGTGAGTACGGCTGTAGTTGAAGTGTTGAGCTGATGCTGACAGACTTTGTGTAACAACGTGTGTTTCATGTTCCACAGAGGTTTGATGAAGAGAAGCAGGAGCAGATCCTGAAGAAGAAAGGCATCAAAAGACCTAAAAAGCGCAAGGTGAGAGGTAACTTGATGGAAAAAGTGTGCAACTTTAGAATAACGTCCCAATAACATATATAAACTATTAACTGATACTTAACAAGTCATTAGTAAGTAATTCACTAATGGCTTGTTCATGATCTGTGACTGGTTTATAAGGTATGGCTGTAGATCATTACTATACAGTTATTAGCTATTAACATGCACTTAACAAATGGTTAATAACTCACTAATTAACAGTTTACAAATGATCTATTAGCTAGTTATAATGGATAGTTACTATAAAGTGTTACCAAACATTTAGATGTGGCCAAAA